CAACACACTTCCAAATTAGTCAAGATTCACAGTAAACACAACACGAACAGAACGCCGATCATCAAACCAAGTAATAGATCCGTAGTTGTAGCCACTAGCAGCCTCCTTATTACCGAAAAACGACACCTCAAAAGGAGCTCTCTTCAGGCCCTTTGTGAACACAATCTTGTCCGGAATAACCTTCACAACTAAGCCCTTGGGAGATTGAACCTTAGCAATGTATGCGGAGTTGGAGGGTCCCACATTAGTGACAGTTCTTTGTATGACTTTGGATTGGTTTCTGCGGAGCTTGCTGATAGAAATGGAGGGGTAATTAATGTTGGAGATTAGTTCTTTGTTAGAATGTTCGGGACATTTGAACTTCGTGTTTGACGCCACGCTTCTTATGTCCTTTTGCGAATAGCCATAGTAACAAAGGAATTGAAGATAGTCTTGTGTTGTCGTTTCGAAGACTAGCCCTGGATTTAGAGCCTTAATTGGGTTCATTTCTCCAGATCCTGCCTCGTGTGGATTTGCTATGTGGCTTGAGCTGTTTGTTAATACCTTCCTCCTGTTGTCGTATGTCTTTGCTAAAAATAATATATATGCATTGGAGGAAGAGATGTCAAGTACATTAATTTGCCTTGTTTTATTGACACTAGGGTCTCGTTCGCTTCACGAATTCGGGTTTTTAATTCGAGTTGAGATGTGATATTTTCTTAGAGCTTTTAACTATAACAGAAAAAATTAGATGTGACATTTTCTTATAACTTTTAACTGTAGAAACCTTAAACTAAAAATTCAAATCTGTAAAATGAACGATGCCTAGAACAATCTAATGTATCACCATAAACAATCATCACCGCTAGTTTTTAACCAATTACAAACTTGTATTCAAGCATAAGATCCACAAGTTAGGCACATGAACCGACCATGCATGCATACATTTGTTTTTTTCTTTTTTTCTTTTTTTTTAATCTTCAGAATGTTGGGTAAAAATGGACGTACGTATTTTATATAAAAATTGATCCAATTTTTAAGTTATTTTGAGAAGCTGAATTTTTTTAGAGCCAGTTTGGTAGTGCTGTAGATTTTAAAAAAATTGATGTTAGTTGTCTTAAAAAAAATAACTGTTATAAAAAACAGTTGAGTGTTTAGTAAACTGTAGTTATACAAGTATTAATTCTAAGGGTATTATGGGTATTATGAAAGTTTCATTAATTATACTTTAAAGTGATTGTCACACAATTTAAAAGTTAAAATTGTTTTTAAACTGCTTCTGATTTTGACCGTAAATTCTTCAAAAAATTCTTTAAGAATCACTTTTTATGGTTTTTACTAAACACAAATTTCAACTGTGGATGGCTAGAAAATTAATTTTGGGCTCCAAGAATCACTACCAAACATACCCTTAGTCTCAACTGCATTTGTGCTTATGCAATAGGTAAAAATTAATTAACACCATAATCTCTTTTTTGGTTGTTAATGTGCGTATAATTGAAAAAGAAGTACCGGTGGTCATAAGCGCGGATTTGATCATAGAAGAAGTCCATCGACGGCGAACTGACTTAACGAATGCAGCAGCCCCGGAAACATGCGGACAAGACATTGATGTTCCAGATCTCATAGAAAACTTGGAAAGTTTCTTCCCAACTGCTTCTTTAATCTTTGGAACCATGGCAGCTAAAATGTTCACTCCGGGAGCCATTATATCCGGCTAAACAACTCAATACACCATAATTAGTAATTAATATCAGTTGATGTCGGATTAAAATTGTAAAACATATACATACATATCTATATATATATCTCGAATATTTAGCATGTAGTAGTGTTTTAAATAAACTTTTTTGGAGCGGATCTTTCGTATTTGCCTATGTTTATTATCAGAAAGAAAAAGAAAAGTACTCTGATATATATATATATA